TGGGAAATTCTAATCAGTTGGCATAACATGATACATCGAGAGAATGCTCTACATCCTGGTTTGGTGAGTAGCATCGGGGGTCTTAAAATGAATCTTGCAAGGGATCCTCTAGGGTAAAGCTATTGGTCTCTTCCTGCCCAAAGCAAAGAAGAGTGAAGAAAACAAGAAAACTAAAGGAAGCAATTCGTCCAAAGAACTAATGGCCCACGTGAACCACAGTTCTCTCTAGCCTGAAAGTAGAAGAGCTAGAGGGTGCCTCGTTACTACTACTGATGGCTCTGGCCCGGGACACAATATTAAGGACCTGGTGGAATGGGAGAAAAATATACAGCAGAACTCAAATCCATATAAAAGACTAGACTTACTAGTCTGATAGAGCCTGGAGGAACGCCCAGGACTAAGTCACCCTTCAAACACAGAGCTGCATGAAAGCACTCCTAGAGGCCACCTTTCAACTAAATAATAGACTACTCTATGGAATAAACAATGACACATGTGAGAAATGTGCTCCTTAGAACAGCCAACTATATGAAACCCAAAGGCCACATTTTCCAGAAAATAAAGACGAGAAGACCGCGAGGAAGAGAATGGCTGGACAAGAGAGCCTGGGGAACCGGAGTGGGAATGAGGAATGTGGCAACACATTGCAGAGTTTGCAACCAATGACGGAAGAATTTGTATATGGATTATTGGGTGGAAATCATATATGAATAGAAAACATATATGTGAAATTGGAGTCTTAGAAGGAGACAATGGAGAATGGAGCAGAAGAAATGTTTGAAGAGATCATTGTTGAGAATCCTTCAAAACACCAATTGAAGAAGCGCTAAGACACCACACACAACCAAGACTCCTCAAAAAAAGGTGGGAGGGGGAAAGTTGACATGATCAAAACAAGGGCAGTAAATTCTGGAAAGCTTAAAAATAAATCAACACATGTCCATTACACTTTTCCTTTGTGCTTCAAGTATTCTATAAAATGAGTCCTTCCTCTATAAAATACCTCCCTTGAAGGTCTGTTATGAAGATTATCCAATATGATCTGGGCCATATGACTGGCAGGTGCAGGAAAGGTGTGAGCCAGGGTTACGCCCTCTCACCATGTTTATTCAATCTGTATGCTGAGAAAATAATCAGAGAATCTGGCTTCCATGAAGGAAATGCAGCATCAGGATTGGAAGACGGCTTGCTAAAAACCTGCAATATCCAGATGACGCAACACTGCTTACTGAAATTGAGGAGGATGTGAACCACTTCCTGATGAAGATCAAGGATTGCAGCCTTCAGTACGGATAACAGCTCAACATCAATAAAACAAATATCCTTACAAGTGGACCAATAGGCAGTTGCCATGATCAATGGAGAAAAGGTTGAAGTTGTCAAGGATTTTGTCCTGTTTGGATTCACAGTCAATGCTCATGGAAGCAGCAGTCCAGAGATCAAATGATGTGTTGCATCTGGTAAATGTGCAGTATAAGACTTCTTTAAAGGGTTGAAAATCAAGGAGGTTACGTTAAGGACTAAGGTGTGCATGACCCAAGCCGTAATATTGTCAATGGTCTCATATTGCGTGTGAAAGTTGGACATGGAATATGGAAGCCCAAAGAAAACTCGATGGATCTGAACTACAGTGCTTTTGAAGAATCTTAAAAGTCCCATGGAGTACTGAGAGAACAAAGAAATCTGTCTTGGAAGAAGTACACCCAGAATGCTCCTTCGAGGCAAGGATGGCGAGGCTCAGTCTCATGTACTTTGGACATGTCAGGAGAGACCAGTCCCTGGAGAAGGACATTATGCATGGTAAAGTAGAGGGGCCGTGACAAAGAGGAAGGCCCTCAATGAGGTGGATTCACGCCGTGGCTGCAACAGTGGGCTCGACCCTAAGAACAGTTATGAGATGGGTTGTTCTGTAGCCCATAGGGGTGCTGTGAGTGGTAGCAACAACGATGGACAGCCAAAGAGCTCTGGGGATGCAGTGGTTAAGTGCTTGGCCACTCATCAGAAGGTCCTTGGTTTGAACCCACAAGCCATTCTTCAGGAGAAAGATGTGGCAGAGTGCTTCCGTAAAGATTGACAACGCTGGAAACCCCATGGACCAGTTTTCTTCTGTCCCATAGGGACAGCAGGAATCAGAATGGTCTCAGTGGCAATGGGTTTTTTTAAAGGCAGGCGAGAGTGTCATGAAATGTATCTTAAATCACGTTTAAGTTTGCTCTGACTCAGCCAGAGTAAAGGAACTCCGAATAGCACTGTCAAGGAATCGTTGGCCTGATCACTGCAAAGTTGATGGTTCAGACGCACCAGCTGCTCTGAGAGAGGAAGATGAGACTGCCTGCTCCAGTGGAGGTGGACATCCTTGGAAACCCTGTGTCAGCCACTTTGAATTGGAATCACTTAGATGGCCGTGGGTTTGGCGCTGAACCCTGACATGACAGGGGGTGAGTGGGATCCAATTCTTTAATGCATGTGATGCACATTCCTTACACCACCATCCCCTGGGGCTCTTCACCACGTGGCTCCTCCCACTCACTTTGATCTCTAGTGACCCGAATGGCTTGCATTTCCCCATTGTTTTACCCCACACCCACCCGTTCCAATCCTGAGTCTTTATTTGGCGAACTCCTAGTCTTTCAGCTTTCAGCCTAAACACCACTTCCTCCAGGAAGACTTCCTTGATCTATGACCCAGAGCCCAGGTTAATTGCCCATCGTTGGGTTCCCACAACACCTTGGACTAACTTCAGTGGTGATTCTTCCCACTCTTACATTCTAACCTATTTACTTTTGAGACTCCACACACTTAGACTTGAGCTCCTTGAGGGAGGGGACTGGTCTTTTGGAATTTTAAGTACTTAGCCCAGGACCTGGGTCCTAGTAGAGACTCAGTAAATATTGGTTTAGTGAGAGAGTTAATGAATGTGGCATTTAAAAAAAACAAAAACAACCCAGAGCTCAGGAAAGAGTGGAAGGGTGTGGTGTCTAAACTCTTCCAAGTACTTCAGAAGTCATTATCTCTGTAAGACATTCGTCTCCACCACGTTTTCCTTAAACCATTTCTTTAATGATTGACAGGCAATAATTATAGGATGAAAAAACTCTAGGTTGCTTCCAGCGCCCTGCTGCCAGATCCTGGTTCTCAGCACACTCTCTCACAGGACTATCAACCTACTGTGTCATTCCCACCACACCCTCTTCTCTCCCTCTGATTGACGACAGTTGCTCTTTTGTGTATATATAATGGAAATATTGCATTTCCTTATTTAATTACCGTGCGTATGTGTTTAATAGATACCCTAAGCAGCTGTCTCAGTCACGAAGCCAACACCTGGAGGGCAGGTGCATCGGGCCTTCCTCCCGGAGGTCTCTGCGCAGTGCGTACCAAGAGGAGAAAATAAAGGAAGATGTGTGTTCCAGGACCCAGAGAAGGTAGAGTTTGAATGATCATGACCACAAGCTACAACCAATTGAAAAGTCTGAGAGTAACGCCATTCTTTACTAAAATCTTACCTCACTGCATTATTCGGCTAGTTTTACCTCCTGGCTCCAGCCATCCCAAGGCTATTGAGTGACGACGGAGAGGCTTCGTGGGTAGTTTGTGGGAAGAGATTCAAAGGAAGACCCAGTGCATGGAAATCACCCAGGCTTGCTTCTAAATTACAAAGTATGGAGGTAGCAGGTGGAAGCACTTGTAGACTTTGTTGTTTTTCTGACTGGATTGTTGCTGTACCATCTGTATCTTACTTGCTTTTTGTTTATTGCCCGCCCTCCCTCATTTGAATGCAAGCTCCCCAAGGGCCGGCTCTTGGTTCTGTTTACTGCTTTAGCCCCCACACTCAGGAGTACATACTAATCCCAAACCAAACTCACTGCGATGCAGTCGATGCGGACTTATAGTGACCCTGTAGGACAGGGTAGAACTTCCTGGTGAGTTTGCAAGACTGCGACTCTATGGGAGTAGAAGGCCCTGTCTTTCTGCTGTGGAGGATCTGGTGGTTTCAAACCATTGACCTTGAGGTTAGCAGCCTAACTCATAACCACCGTGCCACTCTAGTTCTACCCTATCGCCCTCTCCTCCCGAAAAAAGTTGCCACCAAGTTGACTCATTCATGGTAACCCATGTGTGAGAGAATAGAATTGGACTCCATAGGGCTTTCCAGGACTGGTTTTTAGGACGTTAGATCTCCAAGTCTGTCTTTCAAGGTACCACTGGGTACACTGGAACCAACCACCAACCTCTCAGTTCACTGCCAGCGGAATGTGTTAACCATTTACACCAGCTAGGGACTCCTAGGCACACGTTCCAAATCAAAACACCGAAACTCACTGCCATGACGTTGATTCTGATTCACAGTCCGGGTAGAACTACCCCTGTGGGTTTCTGAGCAAGTAACTCTTTATGGGAGTAGAAAGCCTCATCTTTCTCCCACGTCAGGGGCTTGTGGTTTCAAACTGCTGATCTTGCAGTTAACAGAGGCGAAACCACTCTGCTCCCAGGGCTCCTTCAGGCACACACCAGGTGGTAAGCATTTCCTGAAAGGATGGGTGCAAGCATAGGAAACAATAGACTACTCGCAGCACCCAAGGAGCTACTGGGAGCTGCTGAAAGGAGAGTGCTAATTACATGGGAACAAAGAGCAAGGGCTGAAGTTTATTGGTACTACAAAATTAACCATTGCAGCTGCAAACTACCAGTGAGCTGCTCAGCAAGTCCTCATTTCCCTTGTCCTCTGGGGGCAATTAGGTCATGGCCAAGTCCAACCAGTGCCTTCTGCCCTCTGTGCCATCTCACTTCAGGATGGAATACCAGGGAATCCCTGGGGTCTGAACAGAGTTTTAGGGGGGATGTGCAAACAGCACAGGGAGCTGCCCATCTTGGAAGCCCCCCTTTGCTCCCCTTGGAGCCCTGTGAATCCTCTAGTGTAGAGGAATGGAACAGCTTACGTTGAACTTGCTCCTCTTCCCGAAGCTTGACATTGACGCATTCAGCAGTTGTCCCAGAATTTATAAGCCAAAGTCTACATATACGTTTCTGTAACCCTTGATATCCTTAAATTTGTTGCTCCTCAGGTTCGCTTGAATCTGCCGTTGGCCACTTTTGAAGGGAACAGTTTCCAGAGTGACGCTTGCCTGATGCTGGGGTTTGAGGGTTCCGATGCTGCAGCAAACAATAGAGAATGTCAGCAAAGTAAAGGAGCTAGGAGAGCTCCCAAACCCTTCTCCACTCTGTTCTCTGGTCTCCTCCTTCCCCCAGCGTTCTCAAAGCCTGACCTATCCAGCAGAAAGACAGTGCTAAGACAGGACTTTCTCCTCCCGTAAGCAGCTACCGTCTCAGAAACCCACAGCGGGGAGTCAGTGTCAACTTGCTGCCTGTGAGTTTGAGCTTAGAATCCCTGGATAACATGGGAAAGCTGTCTGATGACTCCCAGAACTTACATGACTGTTTGCTGCTTTTTGAAGAGACCACTGCCTTCCACGGTCAACACACACTCCTCAACCTGCTCAAAGAGGGGGTTCACAAATATCACCTCTATGGAGAGTGGCTGGTTCACAATGGCAGCTCCTAGAACCTAAGCAGAGAGTTGCAAAAGAAGAAGGAGGAGGAGGAGGAGGAGGAAGAGGACAGGGGAATTAGTGCTCATTGATTAATTTACTGAATTATTTAGGGGCCTACAGGAGTCCTGGTGGTGATTGCTGGGTACACCTTGGACTGCTAACTAAAAGGTCAGAGGTTCAAAGTCCACCAGCTCCTCTACAGGAGAAAGCTGAGGTGGTCTGTAAAGATGGACAATGCCTCAGAAACCCACTAGGGCAGTGGTTCTCAACCTGTGGGTCGTGACCCCTTTGGGGGGGTGTCAAACGATTCTTTCACAGGGGTCACCCAATTCATAACAGTAGCAAAATGACAGTGATGAAGAGTAGCAATGGAAATAATTTTATGGTTGGGTGGGGGTCACCACAACATGAGGAACTGTCTGAAAGGGTTGCGGCATGCAGAAGGTGGAGAACCACTGCTCTAGGGGGTCACTGAGTCAGTGGATGACACGGTATCTCAGGCACTGCTCCTTAGGTCTGTTTGCAGCAACGCTGGACTTTCTAATCCTGTATTTTCACAACTCTGAGTTGAATCCAGTTAGTGTGAGCTGTGGGCAGCTGTTTGGAAGCTCACATGGACTAGGCAAAATGACAGAATGCATGCCACAAGAGGAATGCGTGTCTTGTTACGGAAGTGTTTGTGTTTTGGTACGTGAAACGCTGGCTGTTTTGTTCTACCTGCTGGGAAAGGCCGACAGGGAGAAATGGCTCCAGGGAGGGATGCCTCCCCTAACGCTCCACGGCCTCTGCTCAAGGATTCACCCCAATCACCTCCAGTGGTGCCAGAGTGTTTTTAGATCAACCTGCCCCTCCCTGGCAGGGTAAAAGCTGGGGCGCTTGAAGGGGCAGAGCAAAGAAGGGCATTCTCTGCTGGGGAGGCCTAGGGTACCCTCTCAGAGACTACACCCTCTCCCAGCTGGCCTCCAGGGGCACCCCTACCCAGGCCGTCTGCAGGGCTCTTGCTTACATTAATTGTGATGGCAGGGTAGGCCAGCGTGATGATCTTAGTCACCAAGACCTTCTCAGGGCAGCTCGTCACTTCCCCTAGGGCACTGATGCGGATCAGCTTGTCCATGGACAGGAACCGGCTGTACTGGGTATAGGGGATTTTGCAGGGATGGGTTTTCTCTGGGGGAAGATCACAAGGATGAGTTCAGAAGGGCTGGAGAACTCAGGTGGGGTGGAGTTGGATAGGGGGGACCCTTCTGTGGAAAGGAGGGAGCCAATATGAACTGAGCCTGGGAAGCAGATCCCAACTTCTCAGGTGGAGAGGCTGAGATGACGAGCCTAAATGACTGGGTCACGGTCCTTCTGCTACTCACTGGGAGAGCTGAGACTCTAACCATGCCCAAGTGACTCCAACATGTTCCTTAAGGCAATAAAGAAGGGAAGGGAGAGAATGGAGGAGAAGGTGCCCTGTTGGCATTTCCATACCCCCCCTGTGTACACCGTCTGTCCCCACCTCCATCCCAGAGCCCATACCTTCTTCAGCAGTGAGGGTGATGAAGACCATGTCCTGCCAGAATGGGGGCAAGGGGCTGCCGTCATGCAGCAGGGACTGGGCACTCAGGTTCACCTTGAGGTCTTTGAACTGGGTGGACAGGTTGAGGGCTAGCAGGACAAAGTTGATGTCCTGGCCCATGTTGGGTGGGTCGAGCAGCTTGAATTTCAGGGAAACTTGGATGACATCACTGGTCCGCGGGGAAGGTGTGGCCAGGCTTCGAGACCTGTCCCCGCTCACTGTCGTCGGTCTGGAAGGTTTGTTATCTGCTTGGTAGGCACCCTCGGATAGACCAGCCTTCAGCTTCTGAAGAGCCTTCAGAAATACCTGCCTCTCCTGCGGGGAACCTGGGAAAGGAGAGGATCGCAGTAGCTGCAGCCCCGGCTGACTCGGGGTTAAGCAGAGACTGAAACCTCCTCAGGCCGGCCTCCCACTCCACCCCGATTACCCTGACACCTGTTCTAACCATGGCTACAGAGGGGCTGGAACTTTCTACATGCCAGGTTTTGCTTGGCTTCTATCCTCACATCAACCTGGAGAGAGATCTGTATTATTATTGCTGTTGTTATTGATGATGCTATTCCATCCATTCTATTGGAAAGGTTGTTTCACTTGCCCAAGTTGCACAACTGTGACTTGGAGTCCAGGAGGAACCAGACCTGCTTAGCCCCCACACCTGTGCTCTTGACCATTCAACATGACCGGACTCCCAAAGGGAAGAAGGTGGCTCCCAACTGGGAAACCTCTCTGGATGTTCCTGTTCCCAAACCAAACGAATAACGATTATGGCACATGAATTTCTGGAAATTGAGGAGCAGAAGCCAAATGGAGGCAATTACAGTCCCCTGAGTGGCCCAGGCCTTCCCGCTCAGTGTTGGGCGTGTTGGGGTGGGGTGGGGTAGTTCTGTCAGCTGGATGTGCAGGGGGAGGCTCCCAGGCTTCCGACCATTTCCTCTAGAGCCCGGCTCCACCCCACAGAGCATCCACTACCACCTCCTGAGGTGGAAATCATTTCATCTCCCCACTCTGGGGGTCAGTCTAACTCCAGGTCCCAGCTCCAGAGATATTTGCTGCAGAAAGAGTGGGCCCAGAGAGGTGCAGATTAGATTGGACTCCTCTGTGGTCAGCTGAACCTTTAGATCCCATCAGGCTCGAGGAGGGCAGGGCAGAATTCTGCTGGCCCGAAGAGCCTTGACTATGCAGGGCCATCAATATCATCAGAATGTCATTCCAAATCCCTCCAACTCTCTCCATGGGGGTCACAGCAGAAGCCCACGGACCACGCTCTCCAAGCCTCACCAAATCCCCTCACATCTACCATGTCAGTGTCTACAGGCCCTCTTTTCAAGTATTAGCACCTTCGTTCTGTTGCCAGTGGCTTTCTCCTGGTCTCCAGAGCTGACTCAGCCACGTATGGAGCAAAAAGGCAAGGGAATTTATGCAGTCCAGGAGCAGCCTCAACTAGGAGTTGGTGCACAAATGCCCTAGCCCCTTGTGCCTCCAGGATGTTGTTCTACATCTTAGGTGGTCTCTCAGATAGTGGTGCTAGATATAGCAAAATCTGTCTCGCAGTGCCCCCATGTGGTACAACTGTTTCGTTGTGTGTCTGGGTTGTCATTTTTATAGAAGCGGGTGGCCAGGCCTTCATTCTGCTGCAGGGCTAGGTGAGTTCAACCTTTAGGTTAGTAGTCAAATGCAAACCATTGGTACCACCTGTGGTCCTTAAGGAAAAAAATGTAGGGCCAGTTAAATTTCAATTTCAGGTAAATGACAAGTCACTGGGGACACACACAAAAAGCAGCTGGGCTCTATCCAAGGAGTGGGTTTTCATAGTAACTAACTAGGACAGAGTAGAACTACCCCATGGATCTCTAGTGCTATCCATCTTACGTAGACAAGGGCTGCCTCATCTTTCTCCTAGGGAGTGGCTGGGGGGGTGGTAACAACCACATTTTAGTTAGCAGCCCAATGCTTAATTAACACAACTATGCCATCAGGGCACCTTATAATTTGGATCGTACTTACACTAAATTTTTCTCAGTTCCGTAATTTGCCTGTCAACGTTACTCACAGAATTAAGTTCCGGTGGTCCACAATGCTAAATCCATTGTAAATCTGTTGCACAAGACCTCTTTAGAGCAAGGATGTTACTTTGAAGACTAAGGTGTGCCTGACCCAAGCCGTGGTATTTTCCGTTGCCTCCTATGCGGGTGAAAGTTGGACACTGAATAAGAAAGACTGAAGAAAACTCAATGCCATTGAATTGTGGTGCTGGTGGAGAATACTGAAAGCATCATGGACTGTGAAAAGGACAAAAAAAATCTATCTTGGAAGATGTGTGGCCAGAATGCTCGTTAGAGGCAAGGATGCCCAGACTTCGACTCAGATACTTTGGACATGTTGTCAGGAGAGACCAGTCACTGGAGACGGACATCCTGATTGGTCAAGAGGAGGGGCCGGGCAAAAAAGGAAGACCATCAACAAGATGGATTGACACAGTGGTTGCAACAATGGGCTCACGCAGGGGCACAATGGTGAGAATGGCACAGGACTGGGCAGTGTCTTGTGCTGTCATGCATAAGGTGGCATCTATCAACAACAAGACACACTATTGATCACTACATGTCTGCAGTTAAAGAGAAGGGAGGAACCCAAGGAGGCAGAGAAAAAATTAGTTCACGGGACTGCTAGAAGCAGGTCCAATGATACAGGACCTCACCTGCCATTCTATCAGCAACACAAACATGGATCTGAATAGAATAGGCGCAAAGTGGGAACTCGAGCTGCAATTCTTAAAGCCTCCAGCTTAATGGATTAGATAAGGCTGGAAGACTTCGTGATACTAGCATCCTGGGATACTCCTTAAACCTTGAACCCAAAGTATTCCAGAAGGTCACCTTTTAGCTAAATATATAATGGACTGGCTCAATAAGATGAACAATATCACTCGTGAATGCTTCTTTAAAAGTCATCTATCGGAGGCCATTTACTCAAAAGCCACGATGAGAAGGCAAAGCAGCAAGGAGGCAGAACTGGAAACAGGACAGGCATAAAGCAAAAGCTGACACGCTATAAACAGCATAACCGGTGTCCCGGAACAAGTTACGGTGGCAACCAGCAAAGAGAAACCCAATTTACTGGGCAAAGGTGCACAGAGAGCATCATGAAATATTTGAACAAGAACTATTTTAACAGGTTCCCTTTGAGTCAGCTGCGACACACAAGCAGCCCTTTGGGATCAAGTTCAACTGTTCCCCTGGGTTCCCAAGACTGCTCATCCTCACAGACACAGACTGCCTCCTCCTTCTCTCGAGGAGAGGCCGGGGAGTTAGAACCCCAGCCCTTTCAGTTAGCCACTAAGCACCTTTACCAACAAAACGTATCAATTTTGATAATGTCCCCTCGGTTGGCTTCTTTTCCCTTTCCTGTTTCACTTCTTATGCCCCTCCCTATATTTCCTGGAATTGCCTCCCAAAGAAACCACTTGCCTGCTTGTCTCAGAATCTACTTCTTGGATAACCCCAACACAATCCCCCCATGCCAATAGGTAGGGGAAGTCTGTGTTCAATGCTTTGTATTTCTCATTTGAGTCCCCGTCCTAGGGTTGGATTCTGCAGCTTCTGAATCTGTGCCAAAGGCTCACATGGGAAGCCACAGACACCCCTCCCCAGCGCTCCCACGAGCTGCTCGGCTATTCCCAGCCCCCGCCCCCACCCCATTATGCAGATCCCGTCCCTGCCCCTTCTTGCTCTCATGGACTGGCTATTTTTGCTTGGCTTCCTGGTGACTGATGTTTCTCAACGTCCAGGAGTTTGCCTAAACCGGAGGAGCCCTGACGGGGTAGTGATTATGTGTTGGTCTACGATCCTCAAGGTCAGCGGTATGAAACCACCAGCCACTCCACAGGAGAGAGACGGGGCTTTCCAATCTTCTAAGCATTCCGTCTCAGAAACTCACAGGCCAGTTCGAGCCTGTCTGCCGGGTCGATCGGAGTCGGCAACTCACATTGCAGTGAGTTTGGTTTAGTTTCAGTCTAATCCTGGTCCCCAGGTGAGACCAATGGCTAAGCCCCGGCTAATGCTGGAAAGGTTGACTATTCAAACTTAGCTATACAAGCCTTGGGGTGGGATGGGGAACCTGGTGATCTCCTTGCAAGAAAAACAAGGTATCACGGGAAAACCCTTGGGAACACAGTTCTGCTGTGACACACTTAAGAGTTACCAGGAGTCAGAATCCACTTGCTGGCAACTGTTTCTGTTTTCATCCACCACTGACCATTTTAGCTGCCCCTTGGCACCTTTCTGACTTCACATTTTAGAGCCACCTCTGACATGCCCAGGCCTGGAAAGGGGTGAGGGTGGGAGGTGGACCCTTTCGTTGGCCTTGGTGCTGGCTGGTGACCTGGAACGGTCCTCCAAACATTCAACACAACTCACTGCTTTAAAAGTTAAAGTCATCGAATTCATTCGCAGGAGAGAGCTCATGGTCTCCCCTGCCATCTTCGGCGGGAGCCTGCTTTTTTCTCGGAGGCAGGAGTGGGAACATTGTACACTGCCGGAGGGTGACTCTCAATGGCCCTCCAGTCAATGTACCTATCTTCTGGAGTGGCCCAGAGGGACCTGCTGCCCCCTGGGATATGGGGTGGTGGGAAGTGAAGGGAACACCCCGAATGGTACCCTCAAACTGCTGTTCCTAGCTGTGGAAGCCCTCTGATCCCAGAGGCCTGTTGGGCTGGCTGTGCCCCCAGGACTTGGACCAGTGAGTGGGGCTGGCTTGATCATACCTTCTTCGTATTTATAGTTCTCAGTGACATCATCTCGCGCGTCACTCAGAATGCTCTTCGTACTGATAAAAATGCCAACAGAATCTGTGTCCTGGTGAAGTTTCTGTTCCTGCCCTTCGGAGACAAGCCAGGACATGCAGTCGGCATTCACCATGGAAAAGGCAAAGGGCGTGTCGAAGTTCAGGTCCACTTCGCCCTCTTTGATGGCTCTGACAGAGGCAGGCCCGCAGCAGTAGAGGCCTGAGGAGAACAGAGACCTCGTCGATGGGGCTGCAGGGCCAGGCAGGGGCAGGGGCAGTGTCGGTGGGTGCCTCACCATTACTTGTCTCCTGAGGGGTGGCGTCCAGCACCTGCCAGCCTCCGTATCCAGGGGGAAGGTCTTTCCGGGCCATCCAGCACTCGTTCCAGACGTGGAAATTCCTGAGAGAAGCCAGAGCAGACAGGGTCAATGGAAGCGCAAGGAGAAGCTTAAATTCTGGCCTTCTCTCCAGAGCAAGGCAGAAGCTAAAAGGGCTGATGAGCCATCAGATGGAAATGTTGACCCGCAGAGATTGACATCACGCAGCCCCACTCTCCGAGGTTCGCACAGCACTAGAACTGCTTTCTGCAACCCTCCTTTGCCACCCAGAAGAGAGTCCCTCTGCTGACGATGAATGTGACTAGGGGTGGGGGTGGGGGAAGCCCAGAGGCAACGGAAATAAAAAATACGTTCACTTTCTCTCTTAAGAGTCCTGTGTGCAGAGTGGAGACCCAAATCCCATCTGTAGACAATTGGACATCCCCTTATAGAAGGGTCACAAGGAATAGATGAGCTAGTCAGGGTGCAGTACAACATTGATGAGACATAAAGCTTTTCTCTAATTTTTTAATGCTCCCCCCCCACCACCCACTATCATGATTCCAATTCTACCTTACAAATCCGGCTAGACCAGAGCATGGACACTGGTACAGATAAGAGCTGGAAACACAGGGAATCCAGGACAGATAAACCCATTAGAACCAATGAGAGTAGTGGTACCAGGAGGGGAAGGGGAAGGTGGGGGGAGAAAAGGGGAACTGATCACAAGGATCTATATACAATCCCCTCCCTGGGGGACAGACAACAGAAAAGTGGGTGAAGGGAGATGCCGGACAGTGTAAGACATGACAAAATAATAATAATTAATAAATTGTCAAGGGTTCGTGTAGGAGGTTGGGAAGGAGAAGGAGGGGAAAACTGAGGAGCTGATATCAAGGACTCAAGTAAAAAGAAAGTGTTTTGAAAATGATGATGGCAACATATGTACAAATGTGCTTGACACAGTCGATAGATGTATGTATGGATTATGATAAGAGCTGTACCAGCCCCCCCTCCCCCCAAAATGATTAAAAGAAAAAGAGAGAGAGAGTCCTCGTGGCCCCTTTCTTACGTGGATGGCTGTGTCTCAGAGGGATTCGTGGTCTGTGTCTGGAGGCAGGCTTCAGGTCTCCTGTGGTCAGCGCCACAGGCTGGGCATTCAATGAATAAGGTGACAAAGAGGAACACCCCAACCCAGAGCACAGCTCTCTGCAGACGTCAGCCACGGCTGGGGCTGTTGTGGTTTTTAATTTAGACGTCCCTGGACCTTAGGGCTAGGACCACCTGACGCTGTTGCAGGGCGGAGGTGGGACACCTGGAGTGTAGACTCTAAGTGGGACAGCACACGGGCCCACCTTCCTTCTTCCAGTGGGCTGGCTCTGACTCGAGGCCCTAGGAATCGGTTGGGAGAGTCTCTCACCAGACAGTGTCCTTCTTCTTGTTCTCCAGAATCCTGCCCGTGCTGTCGTAGTACTCGTCGATGATCAGGTTTCCATCTGTGTCGTGGCCAGACTCAAAGTTGGTGATCACACGGGTGGGGATCCCCAGGCACCTCATCACTGCAGAAAGGCAGAAAAACCTCCTGTGGGCGGTGCGCCCAGGACCTCCTAGACTCGAGCCTGGGGCAGCGGGCCTGAGGAACAAGGGGGGGTGGACTCTGTAAAGGTCAGGATGCCATTTGCTTAGATAAGCACTCACAAGGCCAACAAACTGGAAGTCCAGCAAGTCCTTCATCCCCCTGTCAGCACCAACAACGTGGGGGCAGACATGACTCCTTTGTCGTGGCTCAGTGGCCTGGCTTAGCCTCACTTCCCTCTCAGCTGAAAAATCTCCACCGTCAAACCAAATAGCTGGAATCCTGCTCCTTCCTAAAGTTAGGGCCATGGGCAGAGACCATCAGGTCTTAGACAGAGAACTCTGTGATTTCTATTTCTCCCTTTCTAAGGGTGCATGACCTTGAAAACCCGTCGAAACAAAAGCAAAACAAGCAAGCAGACAGACAAACATCGCAGATCGAGCCAGGATGGGAAGGACATGGTGTAAGAAAAACAGAGGAAAATGAAGAGTCAATACCTGGGAGAGAAGTTCTTGAAAGTTGGGCTCTCACCTTTATTTCTGAAGGGTCATCTCTCCTTTGCCAGCCAGCTTCTTTTCTTTGGCCGTTGCTATACGCTCCACATTCTGTGCTCTTTTACAGACAGCCTCCCCCAGCTCACCCACCACCACCCCCTGTCTATTCAACTCCAGCAGTGATGACCCACCCAATTCAATCCCAACAACCACCATGAACCTTTTTTTGTTTGTTTTGTGTTAAAGGAGCCAGGCATGGTGTTAAGTGTTTCCCATACATAATCTTCAGGATGGGGAGCCCTGGTGGTGTAGTGGTATTGCATTGGGTTGTGATCTGCATGGTCAACAGTTGAAAACCACCAGCATCCCCTGGGCTTTCTATTCCTGTAAACTACAGCCTCGGAAACCTACAGGGGGTCACTATGAGTCAGCAGTGAGTTTTATCCTCAGGATGAGGAACCGTGGTAGTAGTGCAGCGGTTAAGCAAATTGCCAGGTATCCTAACTCATCCAGTGGCTCCGTGGAAGGAAGATCCGGGAATCTGCTTTGGTAAAGGTTACAGCCAAGAAACCCAGGAGGCAGGTCTATTCTGTCACGTGGGGTGGCTATGTGTTGGAATGAACGCTCTGGCACATAGCAACGACAGCTTCCTCCGGATAACTGCACAGCATCCCTCTCTGAAAGGTCAACAACCAGAGGCTAAGAAGAACGTGTTCGCTTGATCGAGGGCACACCTCTCGTGAGTGGCAGAGTTGTCATTCAAATCCTGGTCTCCCGGCCACATCTTCGCTCTGAGTTCTGAGCCCACGTCTGAGGGTTGTGCCCAGTTCAGCATCTTGCCTTCACTGCACATCCCAAGCATTTTCCCATCATCATCAAAGCTTCTATTGGCAGTGATTTCTAGTTGGCTTCCAGTTCTTTTTCTCCTGTCATGAATACGTGGTGAGGACTATCTTTGTAGCCGAATCGTTATTTCCTTCGAACATATTCCGAGAGGTCAAATGACCAAGGCAAAAACACACCTATTTCTAAGGGTTACTCATGCACACTACTGTCATGCGGTTTGGTTTTAAACACTTATCATTTTTTAGTTTAAATAGTTATACTAAACATTTGATTGCTTATAAGCATTTAGCCCCCCTTTTTTAATTGTGGCAAACAGGTAGGCAAAGAAACATTTGCCATATAGCATTTTCATATGTGCAATTCAGTGACGTGAATTATGCTGGTTAATCAGCACCATTCTTCTTCTTTGTCACAGAGCTTCTCCAGGCGGGGGCACAGCCCTGCATGCGGTCCAGGACGGGGAGGAAAGAAGCAGGAAGGGGAATGGTGAACCCTCAAGTGGCAGATCTGGTCAAGGCCGAGGAACTAGGGCAGGAAGTGGACAGAGCTGGCAAGTGGAAGTAAGTGGAGCTGACACAGGACAGCCTAGAGGTGGTGGTGAAGGTTGGAAAAGCAGCCACTGAGGTTGGGCACAGAACGGTGGGTGACATGCATGGTAACAAGAGAACATGCCAAGCAGGGGTGGCAGGGAGGTCAAGGAGCAAGCCCCTTTCTATTCTTCACTCCAACTTAGGTATGAATTCACTGAAAGCCACTTAAAATGTCGACGGTGGGTGTCAACGCCTGCTAACAGCACTTAGCAGGGCACTGTTCACCCTAAACCCAAACTAACCCCACTCTCATTGAGTTGATTCCAACTCGTAGCAACCCAACAGGACAGAGTAGAACTGCACCTGTGGGTTTCTTAGGCTGTCAGTCTTGATGGGAGCAGAGAGCACCTCTTTCTCCCTAGCACAGACCTGCTACCTACCACCAGGACTCCTTTTCCCACCTGAGCACAGGGAATTGGTCTCATAGTCCTTTAAACTGATCTCTTTGACCAGCTCATGCTGCTTGTAGTGATTCATGAGTCTGTCTTCCTGAGAGCAGGGATTGTTCAATATCCATCTTTATTGTTACAACGCCATTAGCAATACAGGCCAGGCCTATTGCAGATCCTTGGCGCATCTTTGCTAGTGGCTGAGAAGGAGCAATTTCTCACTCACCTTTTACCCATTCTGGTGATTTTCAATGTGAGCAAAGCAGTGCGCTAGTGTGAATGCCACGCTTTGGGTAACACATTTGACTGTCAGTGGAACCTCAGTTTTGAGGGAGGATGAATTTGTATCGAAGCATCCTCAATTTACTATTGTGGTTGGGCATAGAGGACAGCTTGTCACCGGAGAACAGAATGAATCGACAGGGGCAAGAATGGTTCCTTACCTAGAAGGCTTAAGCATCAGCATCCTACGAAGAAGAGGCGTAAGAGTGATCAGATCTGTGTAGCCTGAATCCTACATATACATGTTTAAAGGGGCCTTGCTCCCTCTTATCCTTCTTATTCTGTATTCCCCTAAAGACCTCGTCTTGGAATTCAAGTCTTACTTCTGAGTCAAAGACTCCTAAATTTAACCCTGGAAGCTGAGCCTTCACTCTCACGAATCACATTCCCAGCTGAACTTGTTTTTCAGTCTAAACCAGCACCTCTTCCATCCCAGCCAACCACATTATCACTATTGTGGGTGTCAGGCTTGGTGCCAAGCACGGTGCCAACATTATTTCCCTTAATCCTCTTAACAACACCATGATTACCTTCGCTTTAAAGATGAGAAACCTGGCTCTTAGGAGGAGGTCACATGGCAGAAGGTGGGATCCCAGGGCAGGAATTAAGGTCACATGGCAGAAGGTGGAATGCCAAGGCAGGGCTTATGTTTCTCCAATCGCAAAGCTGTTACCTACCAGGCACCACCAGGCCTCCAGGAAGTAGCCTTTGTGAACTTTCCCTCTGTGATGTTCCCCGAACAACTCTAGGCCACACTCATCTCCCTTCTCACGCTCTCATAATCCCACTGACCTGGGTCACACATTTCCTCCCTGGACTGAGTTCTCTATGATTTCATATACTTCTTTTGGCTGATGAGTTATACTACAAATCCCTAGAGTAAAGCCCATACCAAATATGCTTCTCACAGTTCTTTATTTGAGCACCAGGCTGCAGTGGGAGCAGATGCTCATTAAATTCCTGTTGACGTGCATTTGCCCTCTGGGAACAAAGGTTCTGCAGACGAACACTCCTGGCAACTCAGTCGGATGGAGGACGGAGACTCTTGGATAAGTTTGTGAGGGCTGATCCCCTCGTACAATCGAAACCCATAAGAGGCCCATATGCCTGTGTGCATGTATGCACATGCCTGTACACTCACTTGGCCAAAGGTGGCCAAAGTGAGGAGAGGGATGCCAAATTCCCGAGGTGTGCTAAAACGTAGCTCTTCCCCCTATTCGCTCAGCCAGTCAACCTTCATTTCCCACGTGTCCAGCTCTGCTTCGGACTAGAAACAAATCCGCACACAAAGCCAGTCACTACGGAGTTGGTCCAGGCTGATGACATCTCCATCTATGTCGTGTCGCCCTGTGTTCCACAGGGTTTCCAAGGTTGTAAACGGTCACAGGCAGGTTGCCCGGCCTTTCTTTGAAGGTCATTTCTGGGTGGGGTTGACCTGCCAAACTTTCACTGAAGACTTGAGCGCTTAACTTGGGGATGCCTGCTAAGAACCAGGCCGTGAGTTAAATGTCTGGGATATAAAAATGAAAAGGCATCATTGTCATAAAAAAACACAATTTTAGGTGGTGATTGGTGATGGACACTGTCTTCAGAGTGACTAGTGTGCCTCTAATTCGGTATTGTGCTGGCAGTCTTAGCGAGAGCTTTTAAGTAAGAGTAAGGTGACCAGACGTCCCGCGTTTGGTGGGACAGTCCCAATTTTTGACATTTTTTCCCGTGTCTCGCGGCATTTTTTAAAAATCCCGATTTTTGGAAAGAATGCACGACAAGCTAGGGTATACGGTTTTTGACTGCCATGTGGCTATTTCGCCAGAATATGAGTTTTATCAATGGTGTCCCACTTTACCAATATTAAAATCTGGTCACCTTAGACCATAAGAGAGATAAATAAAAGGCATTCGAATTGGCAAAGAGGAAATTCTACTTGCAGATGATATGATCTTATATACAGAAATTTCCAAAGACTCAGCTAGAGAATTACTGGAATTGATGGAAAGTTTCAGCCGAGAACAGGGTACAAGACCAACATACAAAAGTCAGTAGGATTCCTTTATATGAACAGAGAGAACTCTGAAGAGGAAATCAGGAAAACAGTACCAGTTGTAACACCCTCTCTCCCCCAAACCATTGCCAGCTGGCCAGTGCTAACTCCTAGCCATGCTACATAGGATTTCTGAGACTGCACATCTTTACAGGAACAGACAACCTCACCTTTCTTCCATGAGGTACCTCGTGGGTTTGAACTACTGATCTTATGGTTAATACCCTAATGCTAAACCCACAGTGCCATCAGGGCTTCACCATTTACAATGGCCACCCAAAAGATGAAACACTTAAGAATAATTAAATGCACGCCCAATCCAGATACCAATAGTAGTCTTT